TGGGGGTAGGGCCTCTCTGGTCAAGCCGGACGCTAAGTTTGATATGAAGTGCCAGGTTTGAGTTTCGAAAAGGTTTCGGAACTAGTTCAATCGGCTGGTGTTGCGATGGCCCCCCCATCTGAGCTTCCAGCAGTACGTGCATATATTGTCACTGGTGCTTTCCTCCACCTCCACTCCTTTCTCCCCCATCGTCACTCCCTGCCGCATCCCATCGTCGCCTTCGTCGCCCTCTCCGTCCTCGCCTGCCCGGTCCTTGTCCACCCCTCCAGTCCTCCATCCACTCCTCCATCCTCCCCCCCCCCCCCCCCCCCCCGCGACCCGCGCCTGTACGTTGTTTTGTTCGCCCTGCCACCAGTCGAAGGTGGCGCAGGGGCGGTTTCGGGGCTACTTCGGCTTCGCTGACCTCGATCCGTCCATGGTCTGGAAGGCCCGTTGGTGCCAGGCAGACGACGAGAATCATTTCCCGCCGGAGTTCGTGCCTGGACACGTGGTCGCCACGCCATTCTCGGAGAGCGTGACCTGGTGGAATGCCCCGCGGCGTCGCCGCGTGCACGCGCCTGCGGCTCCTGCTGCTGCCGTTCCTGCGCCCGACGACGACGAGCCCGACGGGGCCGACGTCGACGTCGAGGGCGCCCCCGAGGAGGTCGGCGAGGTCGAGGGCGATGAGGGGCACGAGGATGGCGCCGAGGCTCGGGCAGGCCAACAAGCAGCGATGGAGTCAGTGCCTCCTGCTGCACCCTTCGGCCTCCCTACGGTAAGGGGCCGTTCGGCCCCCGTGCCAGTTGCCCCCCCCCTGCTAATCGATTCGGCCCCCTCACGCATACCCTTCCCCCCTGTTGGGGTTTAGGGGCGCGGCGAGGGGGGGCGCCCTGGGCCATCGCAACTCCCGGGTAATTTGTTTTACTCCGTTTGGACGGGCCATTGAATGAGCAGTGGCTCTGCGCCCCAGGACCAAGCAACGTTGGCAGGAGTTCTGGAGTAGCCCACAACTCATCTGGCCACCTAAATCATTCTGTATGCCAACCAACCAGCCCGCCAGCCAGCCAGGCCAAGTTGCCAACCAGCCAGTCAGCTATCAGCCGAGCTGCCATTGATCGCAGCAGCGGTGAACAGCCAATCAACCAACCCAAATTAGCCAACCAACCCAGCCACGAATGCTGACAATCAACATGGGGACTGTGCCAGGGGCGAGCCCTTACGTGATTATTGCTCCGCTCTCTCCTCAGGGGCGCGGGGCCCTGGACGGGCTCGACGACGACACTGCCCTCCTTGCGCTGGAGGCGTTGGAGGAAGAGCTCGTCGACCACGCTGCTGGCGCTGGTGACCACGGCGTTCCCTTAGGTGGCGCGGGCGAGCCCTCGGTTCGAGTGGATCTGCCTGGTGGCTGGATCCAGTTCTTCCCCACCGACGGCCGCTTTCAGGCGACGTGCGCAGATCCGAGGCACCAGTTGGAGGGGAACCCTCGTCGGATGACACGTCAGAACACGCGCGCGGCAGGGGCCGATCCCGCTAACGGGAGGCCGTGCGGTCCCATGTCCAGGTGGATCGAGATCAGCAGGGACTTCGCGACGCGGGCTGACCACAGGGCAGTGTTCATGGCCATGACCATCCCCGGCGCAGATTGAGAGGCAGCGCGGGGCAGGCCCATGGCTCGCGCTGGCGGGCCCGAGGTCGTCGCGCGGGAGCGCCCGCGGGGTATCCCTGGTGGCGAGCCCGAGGGGCCGATCAATGTCCCCATGGGTTGGTGATTAAAGCAATCCTCGCCGATCCTCCTCTTCCGTGTTCCTCCGCACCCCTCCTCCACTTCACTCCTGCTTCTCGCCCTATCTCTTCCTCGCCCCCGCCCTCCCCCCCCCCCCCCTCCCTCCCCGGCCCTCGTCATGCGCGCGCCCCCCTCGTGGTTATCCTCTTTCTGCCCCGTGCAGCTTAGTAAAACGTTAGCTCCTATATATCTCGTGCGAGCGCTGCTTCCCTGGGCGTTGACACTCTGCGTTGCGCTGCTGGTTTCTCCCAATCATCCTGCTCAGCATTTTCGCTTGTCCTAGCCCGAGAGGGGTGGCCCAATGGGCCCCGATGGCGCACCTTGGAGACAAGGGACAATTGATTTGGAGGAGGAGGAGGAGGACTAGATAGAGATAGGAGTGGTGAGGAGGAGGAGAAGAAGGAATGGCCAACAAGAACGCGTGGACAGAGAGGCACAACGGATACGCTGCCGATGCTGCAATATACCCTCCCGCCCGCGGCTTGCTAGATAGACTAACGATGTTGCAATGCATCCTTCCGGCGCGACGAGAGGTGAGTCCAAATTGCGCGGGCGGCAACGACTGATGCTGCAATGCGCCCTCCACCTCCGCGCCCAACTTAGTGGGCCCCCTTCCATCCGCGTAGCTGTGCGACGCCTGCGGTGGCCATCCACTGAAAGGGCCCCCCCTTCCATCGCGCCCCGCGGCACGCCGCGTAGGCTCAGGAAGATGTCGCGGAGCGAGGGCCAGGACTCTGACTCGGGCTCGAATGAGTCGGCCATGGACGTGGAACCCGAGGCCGATCACCCTGGCGAGGTAAGCATTATCTGGAATTTCGAGGCGAATGCTCCCAGGGTGCACACGGTGTTCCCAGTGAGCGGCAGGGAGCTCGTCCGAGAGTTCACCAAGCAGGAGCTCGTGGCCCATGTATTCCTAGGGGTGTTCGGGCGACCAGGGGATGAATTACGCAGCCACCGATCAATTGTTCCCTCCATCTCGTCTCTCACGCCCTTCCCTGCCCTTCCCCCCGTTCCAATAGGGCGCCCGAAATCTTCTCCTCGTGGCCTTCAGTGCCTCCTCATGTTTCACACCCTTACCCTTCTGGCCATATCCCGTGTTCTTCGTCTTCCCTCCACATCCCCCCTTATCTTCTATCCTACCGTGACCGCCCTTCGCGCCCGTCGCACGCACTCTTCCAATTACAGGAGGCTGTGCTCTTCGTCATAATATTCACCGAGTGCTTGGATGAACATCCAGACGCAGGCTTCCGTGCGCATCCGAAGACTGGGTTCCTTTTCACACCGGGCGAGATTGCCGGGCGCATGGCCCGGCGGCAGCGGCTTCCACTTATCGATCCAATCATTGAGGATGCCATCATTCGTTTGCTGCGCTCCATTCGAGAGGACATACGGGATTGCAAAGAGAGAGACTGAGATAGTGTTTTCCCCGAAGTGAGGAGGAGGCAAGGACCCTCATGTTGTTTTCTACACCAAGTCACTTGGTGTAAAAAGCAACATAGGGCTCACCAGCTGTTTACCCCATAGATTGCACCACGCAGCCATTCGCAACATAGATTGCATCCCGCAGCCCCCATCACCTGTGTTGCACAACATAGGTGGGCCACAGAGAGGGAGCCCCACATAGCGCCCTACACATCATTCATCACATCATTGGGCTCGCAACGCAGCTTCACCACCTAGATTGCATCAACAAGTTTACGCCGCGTCGAATGCGCCAACTGAGTATGTCCACTTCGCCCATCCAAGAGCCCAATTTCGTCAGGACTGTGCCTTTCCTTCCTAATGAGCCACTATACGATTCCTATATGTTTCAATCCCGATGATTCTTCGTCATCGAATGGTTTTTGGCTTGGTTTTTTCATTTGCGACTGGCACGTTCTTCGCAATCGAATGGTTTTTGGCTTGTTTTTTTCATTTGCGACCGACAATTCTTCGCAGTCGAACCGTTTTGGCTTGTTTTTTTTTGTTTTGTGCGAAAGCTGACTTCTTCGCTGTCGAATTGTTTTTAGCTTGGTTTGTTCATTTGCGAATGCTGAGACGACTGTTGTGACCTGCGAGGACGGGGATATACGCCCCGATGTTATGCTTGATGTCCCACTTTGTAAGCAGGAACGGCGGTCTGCGACCTGGATATTGGTTGATATCGTCATGTGCGTGTGGCATCGAACGATTGCTTGAGCCTTGACGTTTGCGTGGTAGCACATCGATATTTGGTATTTCTTGGATCGTCTGGGTGCTGTTCGCTGCTTTGTTGGGGGGCGGCCGGCGGGCCTGGCTGTCGCGAGCAACAGCATGATGTATGTTTAGGAATCTGTGATTTGGGGTCTCAAGAAAAAACCAGACAAAGCAGATGGTACATGTATCTTCGAACCTACGCACCTACGCACATGTATAACGCTCCGTGGGACGCATTCCTCCCTGATGGTCGTATTCATAAGTCGGACGTTCATTGATAGAGCAGGGTGCGTTCTGTGGGACGGCTCACTCGAACAAAAGCGCGCATATATGGCCGTTCTAGGACCATGGGGAGCTCCGCATGCATGCGTCCCCTGCCCCTGCTCATTCGGTTGGCTCCATCACGCGTCCCGTGCCCCATAGGGTGGTCGGCCCTGGAGCCTTGGAGGTGCCTTCGCAGATTTCCCCTGGCCACTCATCACACGTTTCGTGGGGCTCGAAGACCTCAGGGGCGGCCGCAACCTCAGCGGCACCAACGAATGCGTTCGCGTTCTCTCCGAGCCGCCTCCGCTAAGTTTACCGAGGCAGGGGCGATGGAATCAAGTGCGGCCGAATGTGGCCCCTAATTCCCCCTCCTCCCTCGCCCCGCCCGCCGGGGCGGCCGTTTTGGCTCCCCCTCAGCGTTGCTATCGCTCTGGCGCTGGGGGCCAAGTCCCGACTGGTCAGGGAGCGGCGCAGTCGAATATTGGAGATTGCGGGGCGGACGGCCAGGGGAATGGCGAGATGGAGGAGAGGAGGGAGGGTGCGAGAGGTTCTGGAAATGTGTCCGAGCACCGCTTCTTGACTGGTCGACACTGGTCCCCAGCTTTCCGCGGGCCATGGCGGCAAGAGGGGCCGACGCGAGGCAGGGCCTCCCGCTGGTCATTGCCTCGGTGACGAACCTCGGGCTCCCGAGGCGCCCTATGATTCATTCACTCCGTCTCCTGGGCCATTTCCCAAGCGTTGCACATTGAGGGGTCTGGGAGAAAACGAGCAGGGGAGAAGGGGACAATGAGGCCCCGTGATGGGGCCCCATCGTCCGCATCGTCCCCGTCGCCTCCGCCGCAAGGTCCCCTACTTGGATGTGGTGGCCCCAGTGCGTCGCACGACGCGGTCTTACCACGCTCGGTTGCCGACCCGCGAGCAGCTGGCCCGCTTGGACGGGTCCTCTTATGTTTTTCTCCACCTCCTTGGTTCCGCACGTCTTCTTACTGACAACTCCTTCGGCGCGCGTATTTCTCGCAGACGCACCGGGGGAAGTGTGAGAAGAGGTGCAGGACCCCCCCAAACCTTCCGGGCGCCCCCCTGGGAGGACTACACAGCCCTCCTGGAAGTAGCAACCGACTTGGTGGAGCAGGTCAGGGAAGCCCGAGGCGAGACACGGGTGGCCAAGAGGACCCGAGGTAGAGGAGGAGGAGGAGGAGGAGGAGGCACGAGGTAGAGTAGGAGGGGGAGGAGTAGAATGAGGAAAAACATATTTGAGGAGGAGGAGGAGGAGGAGGGGGAAAAGAAGGGGGGAAAGAGGAGGAGAAGGAGGGGGAGGAAGAGGACATGGAGGAAGAGCAAGATGGAAAGGAAGAAGACGAAAAATAAGAGGAGGAGGAGGAGGAGGAGGAGGAGGAGGAGGAGGAGGAGGAGGAGGGGGAATGCAGACTCGTTCGGGTCGTCGGCTTGGGACCCCCATCAGGACCCAATCAACGCCGATCGTTGACGCTGGGCCAGAGAACGGTTGGGTGGTTGAGCGGAATGCCAAATTTCGCCGGAAATCTTTAGACCCAGCCAAACACACGCGTTCCGTTGGGCACTTGACTGGCCGAGGGAGTATGGTGGTTGCTGTGCGCCGAAACATTGGGAATATGGCCTCAGGGAATTTGGGGTCGGCCTTGTTGGTCGACATCAGCGGCCAGACAGTGAGGCGGTGCGAGCAAGACGCAGCAGGAGAGCTCAAGGGCCCACAGGGAAACCGTAAAGCGGCGCTCTTCCTCCTCCTCTTCCTCTTTCTCCTTCCTCCTTTCCTCCCCCCTTCTATTTTATTCCCCGTTCTCCTCCTCCTCCTCCGGTCCCCGGTCCCCCCTGTTAATTGCCGCCTTCCTCTATAGGTCCATGCCCCTCTTCCGCGTCCTACTCGCCCCTCGGAACTTGAGTGTTTCTCGAGGCGTGGAGTCGACCCCGACCCCGACCCCGAAATCGATCGACGCACAGAGAAAATGGCTGATTCCTGTTCGGTTCGTGACGTGCGTGCGAACCGAAGTTCAGCACATTCTTGACCAATCAAGACTGGTTGGGTCCTTCCGTCTGCCTCCCGGGATCTTGCCCCCCCCCCCAAGAGCGGCTTCTCCTACCGCCCGCAGTTTGCCCGCCCACCAACCCCTCCCGAGAGGAGCTCTGGTGGCGGGCTGGCGGCAATGGCATCGCGAACAAGAGGCTTTCTGGAGGTCGTTGAGGACAGAATCTTCACTGGCCGTCATCGCCCACAGTTTTTCGGCTGATGCTACAAACCGTTCTGTTCTTTCTGGCTCCAAAATCATGGGGTGTGAAGTCGAGTCTTTCTACGTGCCATCGACGAGCGACTTGGCGATGGCTGACTGGACTCAGTGTGCCTTCAAGCGCGGCTTCGCAGATGCCCAGGTGGTGACTTGCGAGAAAACGTCAGGACCCTGGGGCCCCAAAGCGTAACCCAACGGTGTTTCCACGGCCCCCCCATGGCAGCCTGGTCTTTCCTAGATGTGTCAATGCCCGTTCGTGTTCTTTCAGTGTTTCGCCCGAGGAGCCCTCAACGTAATCCACAAGCAAGTGTTGGGTCTCGGCATGCCGGCGTGGACGAATTGCGCAGAATTGTCTTACACCCACACTGCCGCAACTGGGTCCATTCGGGAATTTATATACACATCAGATGGAGGGTCTGACGAACAGAAGCTGAAAACATACTTGTTTGCCATGACAACAAAGAATTTGCATGTATTGGTGTTTACGATTCCGTGCTTAATGCACGCGATGCAATTGTTTGTTAGATCTGGCTTGGCGCTCGTGGATACTTGGCTAAAAAATGAGTTGCCAGATGCCCCCATGAAGTATACGAACGGCTTCGCCGACGCATCCCCCCCCAAAAAAAAAACAATCAAATGACGCCCTTGCGCGGCGTGAGCCAAATGTCATTTTGCTACACGTCGGAACCAAAATTGAATCCATCCGCCTATCCAATCCCGGGCAAACTTTCAGCTGTTTTTGTGCGAGGATGGGAACCAGGAACACAGCGTATCCCCCAACTGGCATTCCACTGGGGAGTCATGAATAAGGGTGGGTAAAGGAGCGAGAAGAGGAGGGGGGGGATAGGGAAGAATATGAGGAGCGAGGAGGACGGCCTTTGTGGCCTTTGTGGCCTCAAGTCTCGAAGCGCTTTTGACCCCTGGGCCCCTGGGCCACTTAGGCCTTCAGGCCCACGCTGTGGTTTGCGGATTTCGCTTCCCTTTCAAAGATATGCCACGTTTGGCGAGAGAATGCAAACGCAATGTTTGTGGAGCTCGCTAACGGTGAACATCCAGGGGGTGGGCCCCGCGCGGCCATGGACCATGGCCGCTCGATGTGCCCGAGGTGCATTGCAGGGAGATGGCAATCGTGCTACAAAACTGAAGCCAAGATCGTCGGTGCTGGGCGAACATTGCTGCGACCAGTTCTCGAGGCCGTCGTGCGCAAGAGGACAATGTCCTCGAGATCGGGATCAGACGTTCTGCCAATCGCAGACGGCCGTGACAGCTTGGACCCTGCGACAGAGTCGACGGCCCAGCACCGAGAAAGGATGGGCAGGTGGAGAAAGGATGTGTTAGCAGCCGTATCGGAAAGCAAGTGGTGGCATGCTCTCTGGATTCATCATCGAGTTGGCGGGGTTGTGGACCATGTCATGAATTTCCTGGGGGCCTCATACGATGACGCCAAACTTACGTCAGAAGGAAACCAGCTGTGCCAGCTGGTCAACGGCAGAGCAAGGCGATTTTTCGACGAGTTTAACCAGTTGTTGCAAAACCCTCGATTGTTTCGCATCGGTGAGTGTGGGGATGTGGATGCCCAAAGTTCAATGTGCGCCTTGGCAATATTACTGACAGGTCACCACGCAGCGAGCTTCAAGAGGAGGGTCTTGGATACGATCGTTACTTGGCCACTGAAATTTGCTCTCTTCGCCGCGTCGCACTTCAGCGTGCAGTGCAGCGTTCGGCAAGGAGATCTTTGCAAACAAAAACTGAAGGGGGTGGGAGGAGGAGGATGAGGAGGAGGAGGAGGAGGAGGATACCACCACCATCCACCCGACCAAAGGAGCAGCAAAAGAGGTGCTCGGTGAGAGCCTTGCGTTGCTGGACATCACAAGCCGCAAAATTGTACAGTTGTTCCGGCGCGCGTTGGAGCAGGCCGCTGCCGATGGGACGACGAGTTCCGAGCTGTATGCGGTTTGCCTCCCCTTGAAGCTCAAGGCCAAGGCCCGCGGGGCCTCGTCAATTGGGCAAATCCACAAAATCTGGCGTTGTTCCAGGGGCCCCGAGATTCCAGAAATCATCAGTCAAGATTTCAAACCCCCCCCCTTAGATGCCGAATGAAGTAGGAAGGAGAATTCGAGCTTGAATGCTGAGGAGAAAGATTTCCAGGCCCCGCTCCTCCTCCTCATACCCCCCCCTCCTCCTCTTCCCCCTCCTCCTCCAAAGGGGCGTGAACGGACAGGCAGACGTCGTCGCGCGCGCAATGCATCAGTCACGATTGGCCGTTGGGGCCCGTGGTTCGCTAGCGCGCGCTACGGGAGCTGCGACGCATCAGTCGCGTTTTGTTGTGTGGGGCCCGCGATTCGCCAGCGAAAGTTGGCGTCAATATCTCCGGAGAATGGCAGCCAGAGGAACCGCGCATGCGTGTCTTTCGAAGCCTGGTTACGACGTGAACGGCTCCCGCTCTATGTTTCCCCACAACGTATTCAGAGAGGCTTGAGGCCGTCGAACTCGGGAACGGCGCGCTCTCTCTCTCTCTCTCTCTCTCTCTCTCTCTCTTTTGTTTGTTTGTTTGTTCGTTTGTTTGTTTTTCTCTATATTATAATACTCTCTCTCTTTCTTTCTCTCTCTCTCTATCTCTCTCCCTATCTCCCCCTTTTTTCCGCTGCCCCTCTCGGCGCGTTATGCGTGCACATCTCGATCAACGCAGAGTAGCCATGCATCATGCACCACGCAAGCTCGGACTCCTATGCAAAAGTGCAACGCAGTGTAGTCGCCCAGCCCAGGTGCGGGGAGGAGGACAAGGAGGTTTCTTGAAGGAGAAGGACGAGGAGGCGGGGGAGGAGGGGGAGGAGGAGGAGGAGGGAGGGCGAGGAGGAGGAGGGGAAGGAGGAGGAGGACGGAGGAGGAGGAGCGGTCAAGGAGGACGAGGACAAGGTGGAACAGGGCAGACGTTTGTCAAGCGATTCTGTGCATCGCCCCGCACCTGCCGAGCGTCCTCCACGTCCCTGGGGTGATTTTTTTTCAATCCCCCTTTTTGTTGTTCTTTTGATTTTTTTTTTTTATTTTTTTTCTTTTTTTTTTTTTTTTTTTTTTTTTTTTTTTGTTTTTTTTTGTTTCTTTTTTTATTTTTTTTTTTTTTTTTTTTTTTTTTTTGTTTTTTTTTGGTTTTTTTTTTTCTTTTTTTTTTTTTTTTTTTTTTTTTTTTTTGTTTTTTTTTTTTTTTTCTTTTTTTATTTTTTTTTTTTTTTTTTTTTTTTTTTTATTTTTGGTTTTTTTTTGTTTTTTATTTTTTTTTTTTTGACTCAACTCTCATTCCTCTTTTGCCCTCTCGCTCTGTGATGCCCCGCGCATCACCACCCCCCGAAGGAGAGAACAGGGGGCAAGAGGGCGAGGGGGGCAGGTGGGGAATCTAGGGCGATTGAGGAAGATGAAGAGGAGGATGAGTAGGAGCTCGAGTTTTTTTCTGTTGAGCCAAGGCTGATATCCGGTGCAATGAGTCGTACAATAATTTGTTGAAAAACATATGCGACGCGTGCCCATCCATTGGCCTGCCGCTCCTGTCACCCAGAGCGGCGGTGAAAAAAATGCTTGGCCTCGGCACGCGGGGTGTTTCTCACAGGTGGTGCAATCTTTCAAAGCGAGCCGAAGGTTTGTTGGAGCAGTTGGTCGAACACGAGCCTCTCGCTGGCGTTGTTGTGAAAGAGTCAGATCGTTGGAGTTCCCCTGCGCCTCACGTGCCAGTGCCTCCAGATGCAGACCTGGCGCGCCTGATGCGCGAATGTTTCCCGAAACTCGTTCCAAGCCCGCCTGACCGGTGGGCGTCAGTCTTCAGACTTTTGCTCGGAAAATCTATATCGCCAGATGCGACGCAAGGCTATTGTGTGAATCGACGGCCTGGCAAGATCACTCTCTCAATGACAGCTGGAGACGAATTGTGGATCTGCGTGGAGAAGAATTACAGTACTGGGCAATTCATCCGCTGCACCACTGCGGCCGCTGACAACAATGAGATCCACGCGTGGCTGGCCAATCCATTAGAAATGAGATCATCTGGTGAGATCATACTGCCGCACTATGATGATATCCAGATCCGAAAACAAGTGAAAGCTATGACGAGTCACGCCATGAAGTGGGAACTTGACGTTTCGCAGCCATCACCTGCTTTTCGGGCAACCATCCAGAAGAGGGGCATCGTCGTTTTGCAGTTGAAGCACCACGTACCTAGGAAGCCTAAACAACGGCCAAATCCAGAAGATATGGGCCCTCACCCTGTCGACGATCAAGCTGGTCCAAATGGAGAGGCAGAGGCCCCCGCTGCGGGGGCCCCCGCTGGCAGCGCTGCCGACGCTGGGCCCGATCCAGACTTGCGTTCTCTCTCCGTGGATGAGAACGGCGATGCCGTTTACCACGACCCAGAGGTGATGGAAGCGTTGGCCAGGGCCCTGCTTTTGGAGGAGGCCGGGCCAGACGAGGCAGAGGAATCATTTGACGAGTGGAGGGAACAAGACGCGAAGGACACGGACCAGGACATCTGTTTGGGAACGCACGCGCGCCCACGCCCCAAAATTGGTTTGGAAATTCTTGACGTTTCGCGTATCCCCGCCATCCCAATCAGAAACGATGCCTTAACGAGCGGCCCTGATCTGGGAAGTGGGGGAGCCTGCAGAAGAACGAAGGGCGGGGGAAGCCGTCGTACCCTAAGAGGGGGAGAAGGCGGAGAAGGCTAACGAGGAGGAAGAGGAGAAGGACGAGGACGAGTAAGAGGGAGAGGAGGAGGAGGAGGAGGAGGAGGAGGTGGAGGAGGAGGGGGTGGAACATGAGGTGGAGGAGGGCGAGGATGAGGATGAGGGGGACGAGGGCGAGGACGAGGAGAAGAGGCAGAAGAGCGAGCAGAAGGGCCAGATGCCTTTTGAATGCCTGTCGCATGGAAACTTTTTGGATGCCTCTTAGAGCGTC